TCGAGTCCTCATTTCAAGCCCTAAAGTTAAAGAAAGAAAGAAAACACACAACCCAAACGGGAGGGATCGAGTATGCCGGATAGGGGAGGAGGACACAGGGTCCACACCTGCACGAGCAGGATTTTGGAAGATTCTGCGATGCCAACGGCGAGGGCGGTCGAGTGCACGGAGCTAAGTGCCTCGCCGTCCTCGCCGGAGTCGCTTAGGCTAAGGCTTAGGCGGCTCCAGTGGTGTACCTGTGTTAGTGCCAGTGCGCGCCAGTCCCGTGCCCAGTCCTGTGCCCAGTGTTGTGCGAGGGAGTTAAACGATAGCGGTCACGCCGTAGCTCGCGCATAGAAGCAGGAAGCTAGGCAGAGGCCGCATCGTGTTCGCTTCGCTGTAACAAGTTTGATCCAAAACAAGAACACAAGTTTGGCTCTACTAATATAGCGCGCGGATAAAGCGCGCGCGCCGCGGTGGCGGCGAAATATAATATTATTTCAGAGGAATATAGTGTGAATGCCCGGGAACAGCCCCTCCTGGCCCGAGTGCGGGGCGCGAGGGACAAATAAATTCAAAGGGCATGAAAGTCGTCGAGCTGCTTGATCAGGCCAGTAAAGATGGCCCGCGAGGCAGCCTTCGTGAGCAGGTCGGCGAGCATCACGACGCCGGGGAGGTGTTCGACAGAGATAACGCCACGGCTGACGAGATCGCGAAGAAACTCGGCGGCGCGCAAGATGTGCTTGGTCTTCTTGAAGGCAACGGGATCGAAGGCCATGCCGACGGCGGACTTGCTGTCGCAGTTGATGACGCTGGCGCCGTCGATGGAAAATCCAAGGTCGATCAGTAGCTCACGGATGAAAATCACCTCCTTGGCGGCTAGCATGGCGCCAAAGAACTCTGCCTCGGCACTAGACAGCGTGACAGATCGCTGCATTTTGGAGAACCAGTGGAAGAGACATCCGTAGAAGAAGAACATGCCACCGGAGCAAGAGAACTTCGTTGCCCAGTTTGAATCGACGTAGCTCTCAAGGTTGCGGTTGGGATTCGGCTGCATGACGAGGGCGCGGTCAGCTGTGTCGCGCACGTAGATAAGCACCCGGATGGCGGCTTTAAAATGCGACGGGCCAGGGTTAGTCATGAAGCGAGCAAGCTGAGACGCTGAATAAGCAATGTCGACGCGCGTCATATTGGCAAGCCACAGTAGTCCGCCGACGATGGCCATGTAGGCGGTGCGGAACTCGGACATCTTGTCGTATTCAACAGATCCAACAGCGGGCTGATCATCGGCGGACAGTTCGAGCCCCTCTTCCATAGGCGAGTCGAAGCGGCGTGAGCGGGACCGATCGAAATAGGCGCTGAACTTGGTAACGAGGTCGGCGGCGTAGAGGCCCTGCGACAAGTTCAGGGTCCGTGCGGCGCGGTCACGCGTGATGGCGGTGTTCAGTATCCATTCGAGCTCGCCCTTGTCCTCGGTAGGAAAGCGCTTGGAGATGTCGGCAACAAAACGGGCGCGCAGCGTGGGGCAGTTGTCGGCGATGAGTATGTCGTCGACGTAAACTAGCACCCATAGGACAAAATTGCCAGATCGGTAGATATACAGGCACACGTCGATGGTCGAGCGAACGAATCCCCAGGAAACGAGGAAGGAGGTGAGGAGTAGCCCCCACTCTCGCCCTGCCTGTTTGAGTCCATAAAGGCTGCGCCGGTCCCAGGTGTCGAGGGCAATGAGACCAGAAAGTTCCTTGTTAATAGCTTCGCGCCATTGCTCGACTTGAGGGCTAGACATGGCCTGCCGGTAGCTTTTAGGCACTCGTAGTGCACCCTGATCGGCGGTGAGGGTAACTGCGTATGCAGTGCAGGCAATCCGAGCGGCGGCGATGAGTGAGAATTCGTTGCCAATAGGGTCGTAAGTGTCGAAAGCGGTGTTGACGGATCCAAGGCAATCGACGAAGGCTAAGAAATCAGCGGCACATGATTCGCAGTAGACGGCATTGGAGATGAGGGCGGCAGACATGTTGACGGCGAGGCACGCAGTAGGAACGACGTAGTAACTCAGGAACGAGCAAGCAAAGTGACCAAGCTCCCTAAGGCGTGTAGAGCGGCGCAAAGGCTGTCGAGGCTCAAGGTCAGGCATAGGAATCGGTTCCGTAGCGCGCGGCGATCGTATTGGGCCATGAGTGCACCTGTATCGCGGGGCTGCGGAGGGCCGAAAATTCAGATTGGCCGCAGTAGGTGGGTGAGGCCTCAGGAGCCGACTGTAGCGCGTGCTCCATCGCCTGGGAGGTAGTGTGAGTGGAGGCACACGTGTCCTCACTTGTTCTGGTCCGAAATCTGCAAATAGCGAGGAAGAAGTCAGAAAATGGATCGTCGAAGCAAATGGTGGACTCGGACGGGCTC